GTACTCTACCCCAATATGGGCACCTGGAGGCTCGAATTTGGAATTTCAAATTTGTCTTATTGTCTATTTCATAAAACTTTAATGAATTTTTGATTAAAAAACTCATCAGTTTCAAAGTGAGCAGTGGCAACACGGTAAGGAATAAAACATTTTTATCTCTAGTGCGCGAGACCGTCTACTGGAAATTCTAAAGATAAGCTGTTTTCAAATACTTTTAGTCCAATGTGGCATTAGCCCAAATGCTCTTGAGCTCTTGAAACGTGTATGTATCTATAAATGGGGAGGGGGGGAAAAAAACCACCGCCCGTTTAGGCGTAATATAAAATATGAAATCTTTCAGACTTTTGTTTTTCTTTTTATTTATTTATTTTTGTATTTCCTTTGTTTTGGTTTATGGCGTTCCAGACTATGTTAACGGAGATAAGTTTCTTTCATTCATTCTTTGTGTGTTATTGCAAGACAGAATGTATTTCATTTTCAATTTGTTAAATCTTTTATTAGTAACATTTCAGTCTTATACTGCAAGTTTTTTCGTGAAGTTTTCTAGACATCAACTGAAACTAGAAATAACCTCAAAGCGGATGTAGTAAACTTATAATTGTAAAGCAAATTTTTTCATTTCCTGGTTGAAATATGCTACTTTTCTCTTTCAGTTTTTGATAGGCTTTTCTAAAATATTTAAAATTATTTTTTATCCATTCCTATTGTTATTCATTTAAAATGAACGAACTGAACAAGCATTTTAGTTCCCAAAATAAAATGTGGAACAAAAGTAAATCTGTTCCTGTTGAACATTTTATTTTCAACTTTCACATTTTAAATAATTTGTAAAAGAATATTTGTTGCCTATCAGCAATGATCAAAATTTTGTTCTAGCGATGGCAAGTAAATGTAGGTACAAATAAGTGTTATTTAGTATGTAAATAGGAAATGAACTTGTAAAGATTCATGTGTATTCTGTAAAGTTTTACATTTTCTCTTCTTTGACATCTATGCATATGGAATCAGAACTACTTGTGTAAAACAGCATCTTTTTTCCATATTTTCCACTTTTGTTCCTTATCTGTGTGGCACTTAATTGCATAATGATTATTAAATCACAATTTCAAATAATCCAATTTGAAAAATTACATCTAAAATTTTCCAGGAAAATTGTGAACTTTCAGATAAATTAAGCATTTTGTGCAGCAATGTTATCTTCATATACCTTTAACATATTCTAGTTAAACACCCCAACATCGGCCTGTTTGTTTTTGTAAACTGTCCTGAATATAAAGAAGTTAAAAATATGTGGTATTGGTAGAAAGCAATCTCATAATTTTCATAATTGATTGTTAATATTAATATTTATGTCATTTGCCTGAGGCAAACATTTAAATTGAGGACTTAACGAACTGTACTATGTCACACTCATAGTGTACTTGCAAAGGTTAGAAGTGATTAAATATTAATGAAATGTAGTTCTGTATTTAAATGTTAGCCAAGCTAACAATTATTCTGTTGACTGATAGGGGCCGCTGATTGCCGCAGCCTTCACTAATGGATATCACTGAAATATAATGTATACAACTGCCAAGATTTACAGTACACGGTAAGAAAAAGATTTTTCTATATTTTGGCTTAAAAAGCAAAAGCAGAGTCCTAATAATTACGATTTTATGTAATTTGGCATAAATGAAATCTTACCAAATACTGTAAAAACTTAAAAACAAATCTTATAATGTAAGAAGCCAAACATCAAATTTATGCATTGAAATTGAATTCTTGGTAATGAAACTGCCACATCCAGGGATGTTTTCCATCTCTTTCTCTCTTAAGATGCTTTAATTTATTGTCTGCTCTTGGTTTCTCTTGTTTTGCAGTATTTGGTGAGATTATTTTCCTTGTCACATTTTATTCTTATGTCTAACATAGCTTTTGTGGAATTTTCTCATTTTTTTATTCAATTGAGGTGGAATTAAATAAATTTTCCTTTCGTATTTGTTGGTTTTCATTATTTTTCTTCCTACTTTCTAAAGACATTCTTACTGAGGTTGTAATTAAACTCAGTAAATAGTACATTGAGGAGAAAAACTTTTCTAAGGCTTGTATTTTTTTATTTTTTATTTTTAAATACTGAATGAAAGAACATCTGCTTTGAGTGTTATTACTAGTTTGAGATATTTTTTATAAACTCCTGTTATCAAGCACTTCTCATCTATTCAGTTATGTATTTATTGTTTAATGTTTGCACTATAATATATATAAATTCCTTGTTTGCATTGATTTATTTGTATACTCATCAAAATCCATGTCTTATTTCAGAGGGGAAATGTTAAGTGGTCAGTTTATAATGAATGGCTAATGATATCAGGATATCAGTAATCAAATACATGCAAATATAACACTGACATTTTAGGGCAAATATGGCTGTAGAAAGAAGGGAATCAGAAAATGAGTTACTATTACTTTGCAGTAGGAGAAATAATAGCATATTTAGAAATGTTGTCAAGCTGTGAAAAGAAAAACACATTCATTCTGTACAATTATTGTAGTCAAGTATTTATCTGGGAGCGTATTATTGCCTTTGCAACTAATATATCCTTAAATAGAAAATTCTAGTGCCACACATTCTAAAGATCATGTGATCATAGATATTTGCTTGCTCTGTATATAGCCATTTTGATTATGTATAATTATAAGAACAGTATATAAAAATCCCATATGAAGCTATTCTAGAGTAATATTACATATGTAAGGCCTTATGAAGGAAAAAGCCTTCATAATATGAAATCTAAATAACAGAGACACATTTATACATGCTAACTAGTACTTTGCAGATAGAGAAAACACATCTTGCCATTAATCCCATGAATACTAAATTGAACTGGAATGCATTGCGATGTTATGTATGATGCCATACACCAAGAGCACCATTCAAAATCGTGAGAGAATTTTCTGTTGTGATTTCAAAATTAGGCTTTTTTAAATCTATATATATATATTATACATGGGTGAGACAATTTTGAAAGCAATATGCATATGATTTGGTTCCACTGCAAACATGGCACAGTACAAAATCTGAAATCCAGACCAGCAGCACTTTTTTTTTTTTTTTTTTTTTGAGAACATGATACTCCAGAAAAAAACAGGTGTTTCATTAAATCAGTTTTCTTGCAACTCCCACCTGCTGGCTTGGAAATCACACTGTGGCCAATGGCAATACATTGATTGACCTGATCACACTTTCGACCCTTGAGTGGTTGTGGAGGTGGTGGGAGGTTAATATTTTTCTGTCTGACTTAAATAACAAGTGAAGCCCAAGACATATTTGTTTAGAGTGGGGTGTATGCTAATTAAAATGGCAATAACAACCTTGTATTTAGCGTACATATGTTAAAACACTCAGTCGATTTTGAGGGCAGCTAAAGGTCCTTCCTCATCAGAAGAACGAAATAACTAGAAAGGGGAGAAAGTATGCTAATACTGGTTTTCTTTTGTTTGTATGACGAAGGGAAGAAAGACAGAATGAGATTCGTAAGAAACTCAGTTAACATGGCAAATTGTGTTCTTAGACGTTGCATGTTATATTTTGTTGTCTATAGTTATTACAGCTATCTTATCAAAATTAAAATTTTGAATTTTCGATTATGTTTGCAAGACTTCCTAATTTTGAAGCTGCAACTGTGTAGTATCTGCAAAATGAAAACATAGTTGTCTTGACGCAATTCAGGCTTAGGAAAGTGAAATTTCAAATTAGGCAAAGCATCAACCTTATTTTGGCATTGATTTTAAATGCTACAGAAGACAAATGTACCTGAAAGTTGTATTTATTATTTTATTTAACATAATTTAGTCAGTTAGCAATTTATTAAAAATAACATTCCAAAACCTACCTAAAAATTCATTTTTTTGCGTGTTAATATTGAAAGAAGAAAATCTAATTACATAAATCCAAATCTCTGGATCTGTTACAACTTGTGCCATCATATGGTTTCAGACATTTTTATTGATTTGTAAAATAGTATTGCAATTAGTAAAAAAAACTGTGGCAGCATTTTAAAACTTAATATATAGGTAAAATTGATTTTTTAAAAAGTCACTTAATTCACCTTAAATCAGGATTTAAGAAATAGTCCCCCCCCCTCATTAACTACCTGAGATGAAACATGTGCACATTACTCCTCACTACTCGTTGCATTGACTGTGTTTATATAATAAGGTCCATCATAAGAATCATGTTTAATGAGAATTCTGATAAATTAATAATACTGCATAACATGCGTGTTATGTCCCTCTATATCAACTAGCCTCTAGCTTTCCTACAATTGCTTGAACACAGTATAATAAGCAGTTCTACACCGGTAATGGGTAAGCAATTACACTCTTCTCTTTCTGCATGCACAATTAAAGTGAATATAGTAATTTTGTTTTCTTTGTCATTTCATATTAAAGAGCTTTTTCTGCAGAAATTTCTGCATGCTCTTCATAGGAGGTAATGCACTTGCTGCAATATTAGTAGTTCTCTTGAATATGAAGACATCTAAAAGTATTGCAGTTATACTTCATTCATAAACCCTAGACACTTTGTGAAAGCCCAACAGAACAAAAATTTAGACTATTGATATATCTTGCATAAACCTTTATATTTCACATGGTAGAATCCAATGCAAGCAGTTAAAATGCAATGTATTTAATTAACTTATAGAACTAACTCCTTCTGGAGGGGAAGAAAATGGACCAACCAAACTGTTTCTCAATAAACTTCCCATATAGTCACTCTTTTCTCTTATTTGATTTTTTGTGAAAAAAAATTGTATTTTATATCTCTCAAGAGAATTATGTATGAAATGTTATTTTATTAAATTTTGAAAAACAAGGAATGATTTATAATTTTTTGTTAATATTTTTGTCTTAGCTTATTGTGTGTTCCCCATTCCTTTCGATGTCACTTGTGATAGACAATGTAAATGTTTCATGAAATTAGATGTGAAGTCTATTTTTCTTATATGCTTTTTCAGATTGGAATGCGCTTTCACTCAGGTATGGAGGAAGAGGATAAACGAACTGTGTATGGACAGCCTTGTGTTCTACAGCAAGTGGCACCAGTTCTCGCTTCCCTTTCCTTGGATTTGGTGCCCGAAAGAGCGCACTTAATTTGTGGTTGATTATTATTCTTACTCTAACTCACTCCTCCACCAAAGCATTACTATTATTATTATTATTGCTCTTTACAAAGAAACATTTTCACGTGGTCAACACTTAAACTGATTTCGTTGGGGTTTTTCTTTCATTTTGTGAGTGTTTTCTATAATTTGTTTGTTCGTGGACTAACTGAACATGATAGCTGCTTGGAACTCGTGGGAGTTTTTCTACCTTGAAGTGAAAATAAGCAGCTCGTTTTGTTTCTCCTCCCAAAGACAATTATTACTATATTGTGTGCTTCTTATTATACACATATATATTGACATTATATATACACACACCCCAGATGAACTGCAGCATTTAAACTATCAAGAATTGCAAATCTATATATTATAAGAATAGCTCGACGTTGTAATTGTTAAATGTAATGTGTTCCAAAGACGACTCTCAGTTACTATAATAATGAAATAATATTGAACTTTGGCTGTTGAATCTACCATCACAGTTATATTTGTGTTATCACTGCTTAATCTATTGAAGAATGTATCGCATTTACTTGGGTTTTTTTTTAAAGAAAATCCAGTCGTAATTAAAGGAAACCAGAGGCCTTCAGCATTGCAAATAACAACGAATTCCAGCAGCACATACTGTTACTTATTTATTACTAATATCACAGGCACTTACTTAGAAAGCTCAGAAGGTAGCTTTTTTCTTTTTTGCAGCAAATGAAGTATAGAGTCATTTTATGTCATTTCTTTTATTATGTGTATTGTTAAAGGTGTTTTGTATTTTATATTGGCCAGGTTTCATACCTGGTCACATATTTAGCCAAGTGTATTTCATTTGAATGAAATTCATTTTTAGCGTAAATGATTTATTATGAAAATTTTCCTGTACCAAGTTTATTTCTTAAACATGTTTTTATATATGATCTGCAAATGTGCAATAAATTTATTGCTGAAATGTATGTTAATTTTGCTTTATGCATATGTATGGCATCTAAACAAGTGGCCATTTTAAAAGTAAATAAAATACATTTGTGCTCTTATTTTAGACAAATTTAATTTGCTTGAATGTTAGATTAAATTTAGTATGCTTACAGATACTTAGTTACTATAAATGCTTATATATTTAAAGACATTTATAAGAAACGGTTTTACATTATACTAATTAATTAGTTTAATTATTAGTTATTTTGAATTTCCAGAGTACCTAATTTATAATATTAAAAATTCTCCTTCCACTTCTCAGAGTATATATTTATTTACCTGATGTACAAATTACATAGTACAAAAATAATTTCTCCATCACTCTTCCATTAGTTTTCACAAAAGAAAGAAAAATTGTGAAGATGATATATATATTCTATTACTAATTATGAAAAATGATTATCTGAACATATCTTAAAAAGCTAATATATAACTCATAGTCATTAACAAGTAGTAGTAATATGAGCATGTAAGAATAACTTAACAAGGAAGAGATATTTTTTAACTGATTTTAATCTGATAGAATGATTAAATTTAAAATATTTCCTCAAAGGAGTTATATATTGTTTACTAAGATAATAGCTATATAAGAAAAATTTTAAATGTGTAAAATATGAACAGAAAATAAATAAAATGATGCAAATTATATATTAGTAGTAAAAAGTAATTTTCAATTGCTGGTTATTTTTCAAATATTGATTTTATTTGATGATAAGAGATTAATTTTATGGAAAACAATGAGTCTTATTTCAGTTTCTTGTGTAGCACCGGGAAACATATTCTGACTCTAATGAAATGCCTTAGTTATTTGTAATTTACTTTTCAATTTCCATTTTTCTTCTGTTTGATAAGTGATGAAGCATCTGACACTTTTGTAACTGTGAACAATGCATCTTATTACTGTTAGGTTTTTAAATATATATAAATAATACCAATAGTATTATGATTATTTTAAATGAGCAATAAATTTTGTGCTTGAGAATCAGAAAGGTATATATATATCTCTGAAAATATTTTAAAGTGATGTACGACTTGCTTTGGCCTTTGTATTGTTCTAAATAACTTATTTTGTGCTAAATGTATATTTTTTGTGATTTATTCTCGAGCATGGAGCTTCCTTTTGCCTTTGATGTCTTGTGTTGAAATATTACATTATGTTAGTTCCCTAAACTGGCAATAATTTAAGTATTTAAGATAACTTATTTGTGTAAAAAATATCTTTGTATTTAAAAAAAGTTCCTTAATAATAAATTAGATGTGTTTAGTTTATTTTAGTCTCATTATCCAAAATTATTTGGATTTAGATTAGAAGATTTAATGTGGTCTTTTTCGTTCCCAATTTTGACTGTTGCCTACTCTAAGCTTTGTTGCAAGTACTTTGATACTTTTATGAATGAATAATTATGATGACCAAAATTTATATTTGCATGACATATTTTACAATATTGGACCTGAGAAATTTTTGATAGAAGATTAATAACTATTTATATGCAGAATGCAAAACCTAAAACAAACATATAGTTTTTAATGATATTAACTAATTGATTCTTGCATACATTATAGGACCTGTTATTATTGGATCAGAAACAAGTACTGTAGTTTTTCAAATGCTACGTTTTTCAGCGCATTTATGATGCAGCAGATCCATTGTGAAATAATTAAAATTTTCAAATTTTGTGCAAACTGTTTTGTTAAACGAGCATTTTTTTTAATCCTATGCATAATCCAAAATATTTGTGAATGTACGTGAAATTTTTGAGTTACTGAACATGCTTTATACGAATTAACTTGTAATATTATTTTAATGTAAATGTTGCTCTACATTTTCATTAACATTTCAATGTGCATGAATGAACACTAACATTTTTTTGTTTTAGTTTTTGCATACTGCCTTTAACTGAAACAATATCACGGATGCAATCTTGAAATGCTATTTTCTCTTTTTATAGCTATAGCATAGTTCATCTTATATGGGCTTCCTAATGTGTAACTAAAACATATTATCAGCTGAGAGACACATTTTTGCTTCTTTTATGTGACATGTATGACCACATTTCTGTTCATTTAAGCTTAAAAATGTTGTTTTATTCAGGTTATTGTATTTTACATTATTATTATTATTATTATTATTATTTATTTGTTTATTTTCAGTTACATTGTTTTTTAAGCAAACACTGAGTATTGCAATCTCTCACAAATCTGAGGTTAGTGAAAAAAATATTATGGTTTTAAACTACACTTAAACAGAAAAAATGTAAGTTTCAAAATAAAATTAGTATAATTAACTAATTTATAAATCAAATAGATGTCTTATATATTTTACACAGAAATAAACTAAAGTTTCTATTTTTAGTACTGAAGAGGCATTCTACTTTGATTAAAGAATTTTCAAACTTGTATACTATTGATTTTGCATAACTCTCTTCATGTATCCCTTAAAAATTTTAAAAAAAAAAAAAAACTTGATATCTCCAAGTTTCTATAAATTTATAATCTAATTCATGATATAATCTCATTTCAATGTGTATTAAATCTTAAACATAATTTTTTATCAAAATTCTAAATTCTGAAAAAAAAAAAATCAGAATAAATGGAATGAACATTTTGTTTTTAAAAATCAGTAAGTGTTAAAAATGAGTTTCCATTCACATAAATCAAAGAGAGACATTTCCAGAAGACGCAAATATTTTTTTAAAAGAGAGGTAATAGTGAGCATAGTAAAATATTTCAGCTACATTTTCAGTGTAATGAAGTAATTTAAATTACTTTCTAATATGCATAAAAAAGCAATATCGCTTTGCTTAGATAATAAATTCAGGGCTGTTTGAAATCCTTAAATTTACAACGTACAACAAAATAATTATTGTTTAGTAATGTTGGATAAGGATTTTAATATGAACAGCCTAAGAAGACATAGATGCTATTTCGTAATTTTTTAATTCAAGTAATGGGATAATTTTCTTATTACAAGTTATGTGGTGTTTATAACTATTTTTAGTTATATGTAGAATTACATTAAATTAATTAAAATTATTTTACTTCACAATTACGACTAGCAAAACCACATATGGTGAGAGATTGCTAAAATTAAATATTTTTCTTATATTCATATTCTAGTATTAGTATATAACCCCAAACCAGTATATAATTCAGTATAATCCAGTATATAACCCAAAGCAACATCAGTGAGGCTACCAATAAGCCTGCTTTGTAAATCTATATAAGTACTATTCTCATGATTCCTCATATAGTTAGAAGCATGGAAATATAAATAAAAACTCAAATGAATATTTTTGGCTACCTATCTCTGTGATTGGATTCATCTTAGATTTGCATGTTTGAAATTTGTCCAAATCCTTTTGCAATGCCTACTTATTTTTGTATATTATTATCTTTCATTTTCTTGCATTTTGGTGTCTCATGTTAAAGCAATACCAGTGCACAAGCCATACAGGTGTGGAACTGTATTTTTTTGCATAGTCTTGATTTTTTATTGCATTGATGTGTAAAAAGGCATTTATAATCTTGCTTGCAATATGCTTATGAACTGGGATACTTATAAGCAATTTCATTCAATGCAGTTTTGTGATGGTCACTTCAAATTTATACCTTCAAAGATTGAACTTAATCCACCTTTCAAAGTGCATATGAATTCGTTCTATTTTACATGAAGGCCACTAAGATTCTCAGCCTATTTGTTGTAGTTAAATAAATAAAAAATTGTATCTTTAAATTTTGGAATTGAATATGAGCAAGTTTTCTTGCTTTATTACCCAAAATTTCATTTCTAAATTCTTAAACAATGCTGTAGAGCTCTGATACTTTAGATTCTGTGGGATATTTGACAAAAACTTAAAATTTGTGCTGTTCTGTTTACAGTTCCCACACCTCTGTTGATTTACTTTTGAATACATTTTATGTAATTAATGTCAGAGACTTTTGATAAATTTAATATTTGTGCATTGGATGTATTTTATGACAACGATGTGTATTTAGATTGCAAGAAATTTTAATTTTTGAACTCTCATTTTTTTTTCTTTGTTAATTGTTCATAGTAAAAAAAAGTTGACCAGAACTGTGTTCTTTGCCTCAACAACATTCCTTTTATTCTCTAATGTATCTTTTGTATATTCACGATATATATGATTTGAGTACTCACAGATCATTAAATAATATACCTTAATTTCTCGAAAATAATATTTTTTTAATCATGTTCCTGCTTCAGGTCTAATTGATTCATTCATCTGAAGGTGCAATTGAAAACAATTTAAAGAAATCTGTTTATAGAAACATTTAATGTATGAACCGCAACTGTTGGCCGGGAAAGCCCATATTTCAGTTTTATAAACTTGACCTCTAAATTTATTTAAAATCCAAATTGCTTTTCTGTATAGATTTCAAATGCCATCTTGAACTTTTATTCATCAAAATAAAAGAAAAAGAAGTGATAAATTTATATGAAATTATTCTCATTCAAATAGTCCAAATTTTTTTTTTTTTTAGTTCCTCAATTAACTGCAATTCAAAACTTGATATACATCAGAGTTTTTATGATTGATGCAATTTTCCATAGCACAGTGCACTTAAAAGTGCAGTAAGAAAACTCCCACTTGTCATGCAAATGTAAAGTTATTTGCAAAGTAGTTTACACTGTATGAGTCAAATCCATTTTCTGGTCAACTTCTGTAGCAAATTGTGAGCCTGTTTCATTCAGCTCTCATTTTTCAACTTCGCAGCAATAATCTTTATGGATGATATGTAGCTTGTGACATTAGAATGTATTTAAACTTGCTTTATGTGCTACAAAGTTTACACAAGTGAAAGGGTCACTTTGGAAGATAAGTGTCGCTTGTCAAAATGTTTTTACCTTATATTAAAAAGTTTACTAAATGCGTATATATATATACATATACATAACTATGTATTTTGTGGTTGGTTATTTTCTGATCATGTCATGTGTGTTACAAAGTTTATTATGCATTTGGTCAGCCTAATGTTGTTTCGTGTTTTCTTCCGAGATGACTCCCATTTTGTGAATCATCACTGGAAGCTTGAATTCCATGATAATCTCCACCTTCCCCCATCCCAATTCCCGAGTTATTGGCACCCAAAAAATCTTCTCGAGGCAATACTAAATATAGTAAAAGTTTCTCTGCCGCAATTTTGCTGCGATATTGTGAAAAATCCCTCAGTGCAGTAGCATCTGAGCTACAGGGGATTACACCTTGTATGTGTAACATGTGACACTTCAAGTAGATTTTAGAAAACATTTAGATTTATAGGTTGGAAAAGGCTAGCTGGAAAACCGGAAAAAATCACCTTCGTAAGCAGAGCAATAGAAATTCCCTGTTGTTTTTGTGATGTGTACAGTTGTTATTGAAAAAGAAAAATCAGAGCTGTTTCATATTTGTTATACTTTATATATATATAAATATTATAAATATAATTATATATATATATATATATACATACATACATACATACCTTGCTGTGTGTGGCGCAAATATATCGCCCACCTTGAATAATTAATTTAATGCTTTGGCGCTTATTCATCGCTTCCGTTATGTGTTTATTTTATTTTATTTATTTTTCAAATATCGCCCTTTAGAGATTACAGAATGTAAAAGCACAAATATAATATGAAGATGCTAAAAAAACTCTAAATTTTCATCTAGAAGTCAGTTACTGTACATATATTGCATAACCAACTAGATTTTAGGACGCTATTTAAAAAGGACTGTTTAAAAAAAAAAAATTGTGCAGCTTCATTTCTGCCAGCATTCCATCTGGCGCCATCTATGAGCAATACATCTAACGAGCCACGACATAACCAATGCCTTGGGAAAAACGCTGCTATCAGGCAACAAAGTGCTATTTCTTTTACGTGATATATTCGTGTATATACATACATATATCTCGTAGCTTTTTTTGACCCTGCCTGTCTGTAGAAAAATCTGAAAATATTAAAAAATAACTCCCCCCAAAAATAATTTCACTTCTATGATATGCACTAAACTTTTGCCTTTATTATCGGAGCTGCGCAAAAATTTGAACTCTTAAACACATTAGAATTTAGCATAGTACTGCAAATAAGTTGGGTAGTTTATAGTTGAAAAAGTTCACCTTCCTTGCCAATATTTGGATAAATTTTATGAGTCTGAGAGAGTAAGTATCCAAAGATTTTACCTTCTTCTTTTACTTCCATTTTATAAAAGGTCTTTTAACATAGTATTTAATCATGCAGATTCAGTAAAATCATTTTTTAACATCCAAAATTATGCTTCCTGTCTTTTATTTTGGTAAAAAACTATAATGAAAATTATAAAAGGAAAAATTTTAATTTTTGTTATTTTGGTATATTTTTCACTTAATTCTGTGTTTCTATCCAATATCAGTCGCTTCTATTACTACAGATGAAACTGGCGTTTCCTTCAATTCTGACGTGAGAGCTAATTTTAACATTATGGCGAGGATACACACGTTTAGATGCGTGGACTGTGAAAACTTCTATTTTGACGCAGCGCATTTTGCAGCACTTGCTTCAAAACAACATCTGGAATTTTTTTAATAATATTAATATAAATAGATGTAAATAGAAATTTTTACGCCAAAAGTTTGGACATGGAGAAGAAGTTATGTTTCGGAAAATATTAGAATATAATATTTATTCTGTTTACAAAAGTAAAAGTACAGAGATTTCACGGCTCTTAACAACATAATGATCTGTATAAGCTCCAAATTAGTCAATGTTTTATTAAACATGGCGAATTTACGTTCCATTGCTGATTTAACTACTATACAATTAGAAAAAAAGAGGATCCTTACGAAACGAACTCTACAGAATCTTTAAAATAGAGACATGCAGCATATTTTACATTACTTAAAATATAGTTTAATTAAAATAATATTAAAAATCCCCCCATAAAATGTAGTATATTATTATTAAGAATAATAATAAAAATCATGTTGATATTCTTACGTAGAGAAAAAACATGGCGAATACCACCTAGAACTTTAACGTTATTAAATTCGAACTCAGCTTGTTAACCCATGCAGTCTAAAAGCTCATGGAATACATTCCAGCTGCTCATTTTCATTCTTTCTAATTGCTCTTCCTTTAACAACACTTGAACACACTACATTGGTTCATAGCATCTTGGTTTGAGGCAAATCCTGTAATCTTAATTATTCCTGTACTTTTAAATCATTTCCTCAGGCTTTCTTTGTTTACGTTTGTAAACCCTGAATGGCTGAAATAATTTTAACAGACTGTTATCTCGCCATCGATAGGTCTGTCTTCTGTGCAGTATCAGAAAAGACCCCTCCCTCCCCACCGACCGAATTAGCTGCTTAAGTTAAGCTCTAACTATGGAATTTATTGTATGTGAGATTTTCCCCAGTTTTCAATTTTCTTTAAAAAAGAAGATTCTTTCTTCTTTCAGAAGATTCGCAGATTTTTTTTATGGAATCAGAAGATTCTTTCCCTTCTTCCCATTTTCGTTAAGTAACCGTCGTCGAATATTATCCTAAATTTTTGAAACGATGTGTTAGTTATTTGTAAAAGATATAATTTGACCTTAGAGGATTCGAGACTTTCCATGAGACACGTATGTTAGAATGGTTTACTAATTAAATTGTTTGATTTCGTTTCGTATTGTCATGGCATTATCATCATTTGCACACGTGTACCTATAAATTAATACTATTTAAATTATTTCAGATTTTTCAAGAGGAACAAATAATACTTTTAACAATTCTTTTATCCGCACATATTCCTAACTGGAATTCGGTATCAGAAACAGTAAGTAGTATAGGTGCAGCTTTATCGCCCACCAAGAGCTTGTAAACATCGATACGAAACATGTATCATTATAAAGTATATTATATAAATTTGCTTATCAACGATGTTATTAAAATTTTTAAGAATGAGAAATTTCGTGTGAAAAATAATTTTTTGTAATCGTGTGTTATGCTTTAGACGTCCTAATTGAGAAAGTTTTTTCTGTGGTAATTCTATCTTAATGGTTTAACTAATATCAGGTAAATATTCTTATTTTTTCTCGTTCTTCTGAACTGAGCATTTACCATTTCATCTGGCATTCGACATTTCACTCAAAAGTGCCTCACAAGTTATAGAATTTTTGATGATGTACTGCCTGCTTAATGAAGACAGTTTTGCATAAACTGCGTTAGTTTGTAAAATCATGAAATTCTAGCACCGTGTTCGTCATTCAGATTATCGCTTTAAAACAGACTTTTTTGCGTGGCTCCGAAAGTTGCTGTCTCTTTAGCTCTTCGTTTGTGTGTCTGTGTATGTGATATCGTAGCTCTTCGTTTTTGTATATGTATGTTTGTATGTCTGTTTTCAAATGTACGTATGTGTTTGTTAAAAACTTCAAACCCAGGAAGGTCGCATTGTGATTTGTAAAAGGTGATCTGAACAAAAGAAAAGAAATTCCTCCCCTCAAAATATTGGGAAAATCGCATTTCTTCTAATTGATTATGCTGATATATAGAAGATTTGTGTAAACTCTAAAACGACCTTGAAAGATAAAAGTTTTCCAAAATTTTCAATTGTAATGTGTAACTGTGATAAATCATACTTTTGATTATAAAACTAAAAATGAACTTCTTGTGCTGTTCGCCATTCTGAAATTATAGAACAAAAATTTTCCATTGCTTTCTTTTATACAGGGGACAAAATTCAACATAAATTATGAAACTGCACGTATGGTAACCACTTTACTCTGGCACTTTTGTTCTTTTTTCCACTTTACTCTTTTTGTTTGTTAATGTTCTGAAGTCTTCGAAATGTATTTTGGATTTATTAGATGATTTACTGGGAATATTTCTTCGATGAACAACCTTTTTTTTTTCGCTCTTTTTAGAACAATTACTCCTAAAAATTGAAACTTAATGAGAGTTTTGTCTATTCTAAAATACGGGTAAAATGATCTTTCATTTCTCATGTAGTACTTACTCTGTTACTTTTATCTGCTAGAGTTGGCAACTGTCTGTCTCAATATTAAAACTCTTCGGTATGATCCAAAATCAAACATGTGCAAATTATAACAGGGAAAGATTTCATTCAAATTCAATAATAATTGCGAAAGTTCAAAGCAAAGTAACTTATTAAAAATAAATTTTATTTCCTAATGGTTTTGCAATCTATTTCAGATTAAAAGACGAAAATTAATTGTGTGTAAAAGAAACAATACGTTAGCATTAAGTTTTATTTAAAACAACTCTGCAATAAGTTAACACATTAAAAGGTATTGTGTTTAAGAAGGCACCAAATTTGTCTGCATTACGATTGACACATCTGAAGCATGCAACCATTTGAAAAGCGCAAAACAATAAAGCCTCGTATATGAATTTATTTTTCAGGCATTTATTATTTCGCAGTTAAGTACAATCAATCACATCTGTTAGATTTGATAAGTTTTTAATACATTTTTAGATCAGTTTGAGTATGTATGATGAAATTCACCTAAAATTAGCTGACAGCAACTCTGCAAGAAGGAACAGTTTTTAATCAGTTCACTCACTAGTCTTGTGAAATCATAAATTTTAGAACTTATACAACTTCCTTTATTTCAGTGGATCAGAAATTATATTCACGTAATTTTTAGGTGCACCCTCAATAGCAAGTTTGCCATTTGAGTCGTGAGAGTATGATTCTATTTTTTAGTTTACGCAAGTACTGCAAGTTTAGAAAACTCACGCTTTCAACACAAGAATAGTACTAATGTGTTTGCAAATTTGAAATTACTTTGCACTTGTAGATTGCGCAATTTTGTAATTCTGCTGCAATATTTAGCTGTACTGTACACATCTTTCAAACACTTGAAGCGGTACTTGTTGCTACTCTTTGTAGTCTGTACGAAATTGTGGCAAAGCTTACTCAATCATGCATACATATACATACATATATATATATATACCTATATATACATTATATATATATATACACACATGTGTGTACAATCACTTGTTCATTGTATTATCAACGTGCAGAATGCTTTGTGTACAGATAGTTTGTAACTTCTCTTTTTATAATTTATACAGAGCCTTTCGTTTGTGCATTTAAGAGCGGTAATATATAAAATGTGTTCACTTGTTTTTAACTCTTTAAAAATGAGTCATTTTTAGTTTGTATGAATGCCTACTTATGCAGTTATGTTGTTCATATTTTTTGATGGATACATCATTTTTAAAGGATGTATATGTATAAATTTCTTATTTTTTGGAAACCAAGTCTTTTGTCAACTAGAAATCTACGGCAGCATAGGAAGATTTCGATTGGTATAGTATCAACCGGGGAAGGATTTTTTATATTATATTTTAAGCTCTTCGCTTTCGAATGACATTTAATATTACCTCGATTTCTTGTGATAAAACACTTTTGAAAGAAAAAATAAAATAAAAACGGGAAATTTCTTGAACAGAAATCAGCTTTCTGTGTCAATCAGCTTCGAACGAATTTTTTGGAAAGAAACTAAACGTCTACATGCTTCCACTATATATGCAATAATTTTGTAAATTTTTTCATTATTAAAATTGCAGGTGAAACGTGTATGCTGTTTGTGATTTGCTACACCTGCATATTATTCTAATGTTTGAGGAACTCGAGCGCAAAGCTATCTGTTTATTGTGCATTCAAAAATTTCAATATTTTCTTGGTACTTTTAAAGTTAATTAAAGGGCAAATATTTTTTTTTTTTTTTTGGTAAAGCCATAAGCAATTTATTCGAATATTTTATACACTGTATACATTATTTTAATAGCTGACGAAGGCCGATATTTAATTATATAGTTAACTAATTTCAAAATCAGAATTTATACAAAAAATATAATTTTTGAAATTTACGAACGTTGGTGTTCTTACTTTTGGTGTTTGTCAAAAAAAGATATAGGAATACTGAATTTTGGATTTTTGTATGCCATTAATTATAGAAACGTGAAAAAGTTAATTGCCATTTTATCTGCATATTTCTTAATATTTGAATTAAGTTTTCGAAAATATTCATAATTTAATCTTATTTAAAATGTAGTATTTTAATAGAACTATTAAGGTATGCGTTATTTATTCAATGTAACGAATGTTTTAGCAATTTTGGCATAATGTTCAATAACTGAAGCTGAAAGGTTTCATATAAAAGGTTTCTAATTTTCAACTGAATTGAATTACCTACGATTAAAATGAATTATGATATTTTCAAAACAAGTACCTATAAAAAATATTCGAATTGTTGTGATCATTGCACTTAGACAATCAGGACTAATCGAGCAAAATGCAGCGCCTCTCTGATGTAATAAATAAATGACTTCAATTTTCGAATAGATTTGATCTTATGGCTTTAGCAATCAATATATTCAGTCTATTTCTTTTAATGCGTAAAATATGAATTTATGTCATTATTTATTTCTTGTTCAATTTGATCAGTGTAGCATAGGATATGAGTATTGGAAAAATGTTTCGCAAATGTTCCGTTTGATAAAGCAAAGAAAAACTGTAAAAGAAAAAAAAAAAAAAAATTACGTGTAAAATGTCGCGAAGCGATATGATTTGCTGCTTACATTTGTTGTACTTGCATGGAAACAGCGCATGTTGTCTTTGACTTGTATGCTTTACATTTTTGTTTGTTTCGCTGTATAAAATGATTGCAAAAATTGTTGTGATGTGTAAAATAAAACTATTAACTGATGAGAGTGTTGTTTTTTAAAAAAAATTAATGATTAATGAATAATTTAAAAAGTGTGTTAAAAAGCGGAGAAAATGTAGCTCCTACAATCCCAGTGTTGATAAATGTGACGTCTTTGTTCTGTGTCAATGAAAAAAAATAAAATAATAATAAAAAAAAATGTGTTCCATTTTCTCGCTTATTTGCGGGGGAAAATAAACTATGTAAAATCCGACATGTGTTTGTGGTTTTTTCCCTCCCCACTTCCAATTTTCGTTTTATCGTGATAGCGAATATTTAGAGAAAGCAAAACTCAAAGGTAAGCGTAGAATGCAAAAAAAAAAAAAAAAAAAAAAAAAAAAAAAAAAAGATACAATTACACTTAAAAGCAAAACACAGACGGTTAAAAAAATATAATTTCACTTAAAAAGGACCATAGAATGCATTCACATTATATGCATTACGTAGAATGTGAATGCATAGAATGTAAAGAAACCATAATTACTCTTAAAAGCATAATACATAATGTTACATTTTCCAAACAAAAGCTACAGCCCGATTATCACAATTTAGCAGTAGCAGAATGAGTCTGGATGATTGATTTACATGTACTTGGGAAAGGTGATTTTTAGTAAAATATTTTTCATTATTTACTTTATCTAACTAGAATTTTATTTCCCGACATTAAGAATTTTATTTCTGCATTAAATGATATTTTTCAACACAACGAACAGAATAAAATAAATGTATCTTTAGCAAATACGCGTACTTATTGATCATCCCGCAGCAGTTCTGTTACTTTGTTGAGTGTAGTCTAAACTGTAATCATAATCCTTTTATGTTGAGATTCCATAATCAGAAATGACATAACCCGCTCACGAAAGAGAAATTTTCCATCCAATTCCAAGAACTGAAGCAAACTGAATAAAAGAACTAAGTATGCAGTAATAAGAGAAATTGAATTTAGAAAAAACAGAAGGTTTAAAAGTTATCTGATTTGCGTTCAATGAATAAAAACAATTATTAAACATAAAAGAAAGCATTATTTCACAAAAATCACTCTAGGATCTGGAAAAAGCATAAAACAAGCTGTTGGCAATTCTTTAACGTTAAATTAGAGTTCAAATTTAAATGTTCTTTTTTACAGTAAGAGAATAGCGATTACAATAATGAGAAGTCAGTCTTATAAAGCAAAAGTCTGAAACTGGCGTCCGCGAAATATTTACCGTAAATTAATTAACGTTATTATTAGTTCAAGATTTGAAGGATTTAGAGTCCAATTTCACATTATTTTCTTTATCAAAAACAAACGTATGTTAGCTTTCCAGAAAATCTAGAAAGAGAGGTAATTAATTTAGATTCTTATATAAACCATTTGAAAAGATTTGAGGGTACAACATTTGGTTAACTTTTATTAGGCCTTGCGAAACGATAAATATCCTAATTTACGAATTATTGCAGTAAGAATATGTGTGTGTGTATTTAATTATGGCAAAGCACACTAGGGCTATCTGCCTAAGGGGAGGGATGCCTTCGTGGAGGACTTTCTAAGGGAAACTGGCTCGTATACACGTTACACATGGGGAAAACCACGAAAACACCCATGCAGCCAGCCCGTTCGCGGGATTCGAACCTCGGACCGAACTACCAGTGTTCAGCGACTTTACCGCTCGGCCGCTGGTGGGCTCTTTGCAGTAAGAATAATCGCTTTGTTTAATAGTGCATTTACATGTGAAGGTTTTTTTTTTTTCCCTCGTAGGTAAAAATTTATTACTCTATGAAAAGAACCAAACCGTCGGCGAGTATTTATAATTTATGATGTAGATAGTATCTAGTAATTTTCCTCCAAGATTACAAACTTTATGAAAATTGAAACGCCATGAGGTGCTGTAGCTGAAAGGTGTAGTTAGAAGCAAAGATTATTATAATTATTTACACACAAATATTGTTTTTTTCTGCACGTATCATAGAAAAATCTAATAAAATAAAAGAAAGAGAATACGTTTCATTATTTATTCGCATGTGTTATTCCTCTTGGGAAGTTTTCGTTAAAAGTTAGTTACATAGTGGTTACTTCAAAACTTCATTATATTACAATTATTTGAAAAAAGGTCAGTCTGAAAATTTTAATATTTAGTTCTCAGTGCGTTTGAGTTACAAATCGTGATCAACAAAAATTACTTGCAGATACAAACTTTTAGACTTCAGGCAGAAAGTAGTGTGAATTTTAATTTGTTCTTTGCTTTGTTACAAGTAGGTTTTGAAAATATGTAGTACATTTTTTTTTAAAATTTAGCTAGTAAATTTTATTTGTTAATCACAAAAATTCTCTTTTCCTTTCTTTTTAATTGTGGCTTATAAGCTACTTTCAGATCGTGCATGTGGCCCACATGAAATCTAAGTTTGAGAGTACTGTTATAAAATATCTAAAAATTAAATTATTTAATACTAAGGTAAAGTCACTCAAAAGATTTCTAAGAACTATGTCCATTGTAAGAATGTCTTAACACCGAAATTTCCGAGGAAATATAACAAATTTTTAGACAGCCTGTCTACTAGATACCTTAATAGTTTCATAAAAATTGTAGTATTTTGACGCTTCAAGAGACTTAACTGTTTGTACTAGTTTACTTTGACCACAAATTTTATTAATAACTACAATGATAGATTAGTGTATATTTTGTATGTTACATGAATTAATTACTTGTATTTGCTCATAGGTATTTGTATAAAATTACATCGAGAAAATAATTATCTTTACGCAAATCACAATAAAAAAAGATATTTTCAATATTATAGTGTTTAAGTGTATAACCTGTGTTAGCAAGGTGAGTAATATGTCTGTACCTAGTACATCAATACTATCTTGTATCTGAAACAAATATAATATAATATTATCTAAAACAATGTAGGTATTATCATAAATCAGAAGTTTTTTAGCTGAATGAAAATGTTAGTTTTGAGGTGAGTGATGAAGAATTAATTTCTGAAAAGAAGAGATTACATTTACGACCACAATGTGCTTCATTTCTACATATTAACAAAGTTCGAAAATTACATTTATTGAATAGCTGTGGGTAATATTAGTTCATAATATACACTTACATATCATTAAATTTAAAGAGATTTCATAATAGGTGCATGCACGTTTTATAGCAAGCAATTTTTTTAAATATATCATAAATTATTATTATTATTATGGATATTTTAAACTTTCATAACAGGTTTTCGGGAATTTTTAGGTATTTCTAGGCTTTGCGATTTGTGTGGATTTTTTAAAGTGTCTCAGAAATATTTTCAGTATTTTATTGGAGGGAAGGGGGAGCTTTTTCTCTTAAGTAAGCATTTCATGATTTAAAATTTCATTAACAATTAGATCTTTATATAGCAATTTCTGAGAAGAAGTCAATGTCAATTTTTTTTAAATATGTTAATTTCAATGTAATAGACTAGTACATGACATTACTAAAATTCTATGTTCATCTTATTAGGGTATACCAAACTTAATGAAAATTGAAAAATATTTAAATATATATGCAAAATTTTTTATTATTAAAACATTCTGTTACAACCTATTTTGTTTGTATAAAAAATATTCAGGTGTGAATTTACACACTCGCAGTCTTAAACGATATCTGCTAAAAATATGAAAGTAATGAATTCTTAAAAAAAGGTTCCAAAAATAAGAAAACTTGACGGTGAAAAAAAAATGTTTTAAAAATAACTAAACATCACGGTAAACATTTGTATATATAAAAAAATTGTAAAATATAATCTAAATGGTATGTTGAAAATTCTAGACATCTTCAGTTTAAAGGATTTAATTTAAACGTGGAACAAAAACTGAGCATCATTAAAAAGAAAAAAAAATCGTCTTATTAGAAGATAATTTTATAAATTCCAAATCAATTTAGTCTTAAGAAACCAAGAGTTATTAAAATTGGACTATTTTTTAAATTGATTAAGTCTAATGAGCAAGATTTTTTTCAACTTTTTATGTTATACCTATCTAATATTGTTAATATGGTGACATTTTATAAAAACAGTGTTATTCCTGAAAGCCTGACGCGGAAAATTTAGGAGAAATAGGAATCTCAATCATCCTATCAAAATAGATTCAATTAAACTGTGACGGTAGGAAAATAATGAAGAAAACTTATCTACTTACACCACTTCGCGTTAAATATCGCCGACTCACTGGACGTGAGAAAAAAAAAGACAAGCAAAGATTCATTGTTGAGTTTAGAATTTAATCTGGTAATTTTTAGCCTCTAAACAAATATTTGATTAGTATTCGCATACCCCACAAAAATAGCATCGTTTTTAGTGTATACTAAAATTTGCAAAGTAGACTATACTGGTAAACAATTGCTAAGGACGTGTGACAGTAGCAGCGACAGCAACCGCAAAATGGCCAGGCCAGCAATCGAATACCCTGTGTATCGAGGAAGATCAGAACACAACTTGTAACATGTGGTTTTGCATTATCTTGTTGGAAGATGGCTTTTGGCAGGCCTCTAAGGTAGAGCCCAACGACTGGACAAGGCAGGAAAATATGGAAATTAGCATAAGTGAAAGATACAGTAAGACGTTGTGCGTATGCAAATTTTGGATTGGCGAAGTTGTCACATGATGCGCCGATAAAAGAAATAAAGGATTTGACGCATATTAATATTTATTGTTCAAAAGCAAAATTTAACGGGAAGGAATCAGTTAGCGAACCTTCAATTTTCTATGTCTAGATGATCACCTAGATGATTTTATGCGTAGCTGTATTATTGGTAACATTGAAGAAGGGCGAAAAATAACAGATGTTGTTAGGGAGTTCGACGTCAGCCACAATATTGTTTCAAAGCTTTGGAAATCATTTCAAACAAATGGAATGTATAGCAAACATCAAGGAGGTGGGCAGATCTTGTTCGCAGTGCGACACCTGCAGAAGATAAGTACATTGGGTTATCTAGAAAGAGAACCGACGCAGCACAGCTATTGAAGTAACAAATCAGTTATTTGCTGCTTCTGGCAAGCAAATCTCCTGAAAAACTGTTGGTAGACATTTGCATCAAGGACTATACGCCCGCTGTGCTGTTGTGCGCCTTCCATTGTCCAGAAGCAACGTACCATTGGACTCAACAAGAACTCGGCTTGTGTACTATTTTTAGATGAGAGTAGGTTCAGTCTGTTACCGGATTACAGACGTCAACTGATTTGGCATGAATGTAAAATGTAAATGCT